TACATTGTTGGTGGGATTGTACAATGGTACAACCATTCTGGAAGGCAGTTTGGCGCTTCCCCAAAAAGCTGAAAATACAAATTCCATATGACCCAGCTATTCCATTGCTTAGAATAAACTCTTAGAAAATGAGAACTGAGGCTCAAACGGAAACTTGTACATCAATGTTCATAGCAGCATTATTCACTATCGCAAAAACATGGAAACAGCCCAGATGTCCAACTACAAACGAATGGATTGAGAAGTTCTGGTACATTCACCCAATGGAATACTACACAGTACACAGGAGCAATGATTTTGTAAATTACTACCTGACTTGGGAGGGAATGGAGAGCATTATGCTGAATGAACTCAGTCCCACAAGGGGACCGTATAAAATACTGTATAAAACTATTATTGTAGAATGAATATGAGTATCAAAGGCAGGGCGGTGTGTTTGAGTGTGAGTGTGAGAAAATAGAGGGGCGGGAATGGGGGGGTAGGGTGTTAATCATAGGGTTGCACAATTTGATGGGTGGGTGGGGTGAAGGAAATGGGAAGGATCTTTTGTGAAAAAACAATGTAATCAAACTTTGTAAATGAATCAGAGTAATTATTAAAAAAGAAAGCAAAGATTGACCTAATGGGAAAACAAGCCATTTCTTTTTAAGTGTACTTTACTTTGGGGTCTAAACAGACCATTTACAGATAATGACTTGATTTCCATTAACTATTGTTGTTGTGCCTGTCGACAATTCCAGAGTGCAATCTGGTTGAATCATTCCTTGTGTTCTTAATGGTATAGCGTTTCATTGGGTCTCACTGATTACGTTTTAGAAGAGTTACTGCCAAATAGCATGTTATATCTGGAAACGTTATAAAACTATTATGTTAGCTAACTGAGATCTGGAACATTTCTCTGCTCCAAAGGGGGGGGGGGAGTTAAGTCTATCTTGATTAGCTCTGCAGCCCAAATTTTAGTGCTGTTCTTGATATATATAGCCTCTAAAAGTCTTTGCTGCTAAGGAATAATGAATAAATACATGTTCATTTTCATCTGTTAAAACCCGTGAAACAGCCTTGTGCATTGAAGCCCCATTACAGAAGAAGATGTGGTTCCGTGATACAGTTGGCTCTCTGAAACATCATTAACAGAGACAGCACTATTGTAGGATGCATGGCTAGGAACACATGGGCCTTCATTTAGTTCCTTTCTCAGGGTCACTAACATTTTGACCTCAAGGAAATTTGTATCCATGTGGAGTGACTTGGGTTTATCCATCCAAATGTTCAGTCTCCTTTTCTCTTTATTGTAGTGCTGTCTCAGCAGCCCGATTGTCCTCTGGCTTCCTGTTGCAATTAGCCAATGGGAGCCTTGATGGCAGACAGCACAGAAAGGGAAAAGAGTGCTTTTACTCAATGCAAGCTGACTGTATACATCGTGTCTACTTTGCAGTTCCTATCAAGTGGCTCTTATGACTTTGTTATTGCTAGATGGCATCAAGACCACTCCTACTCCTAGCAACCTATGTGGAACAGATCAAACCTCATTATTCACCATAAGCACCATCTCTCCTGTGCGGAATTCTATTATCTTAATCATTGTGTCAATCCATCTCACTGAGGTGCTTTTTCTTTTTTGCTCACCTTCCACAATATGATGTCCTCTCCCAAGAACTGGCCTCCTGATAGCATATCCAAAGCATATGAAATGAAGGCTCACACTTTTTGCTCACAAGGATCATTCTGACTGCCATTTCTCCAGGATACCAGGGACTGACCCTTCCTAATAACAATGCCCAAAGATATGAGATGAAAATGAAGATAGACATGATGTCTTATCGCCTTTGCTTCTTAGCAAAACTCTGGCTACATTTCTTCCAAGACAGACTGGTATCTTCTTCTGGAAATGTATGGTATATTCAATATTCTTCACCAAACCTCACAATTCAAAGACAGCAGTTCTTCAGTTTTCCTTATTCATTGTCCACCTTTCATATATATATATA